CATATATTTCTCTGTTTTAGATTGTTTACATAGATAAGTATTAAAATCCTTTTCAAATGTATAAACTAACAAATAAAATTTGCTATAGAATTCTTTGTCTTTTAAGTTTTTTATTTATTTGTAATATAACTGGTACTTTTGTTCCAAATAGAGTTGATTATGATGCATATGGTATCAAAATAGCTATGAATGAAGATTTTCTTGTATTAGCTCAAAATAAAAATGATCCTCCAAGTTTTTTAATACAATTTGCACCCTATAATGATACTCAAACATCATTACAATGTTCTACTTACTATCCACAAATGACAGAGACTTTTATTTATACTGTTGTCGTTGGTAAAAAACAAAATAAAGATCACATACATTTTTATTTTGCTGGTGAATCAACAAATAATAAAAGTGGAATATTTGTTGGTATAGCAATATATAATAATAATAATACAAATAGTAATTCATCATTATTATGTCATACAAGTTTTACATATTATCTTCAATATTTTTTTAATTATCAACATCAAGAATATTATATACTTGGTGTTGAACCAAATGGTTATTTTACATATGGATTTTCCAATGAATTTATATTTATATTTGATTCACGAAATACGACAATTTTAGAATTATGGAATGGAAATTTAACATGGCCAAATCATACATTTATTCCTCATGCTGTTGATATTTCAGAAAATTTTGGTGTTATATCAGGATTTATTTATAATGGTATAAATTCGACAGTAAAATATAGTCCAATGATTTATCTTATTAATTTTAATTCATCAAATAAACATCCAATTGTTGTTAATCAATATAACCCTATTGCTACTCCTAATACATGGCAAGATTTATTAACAAATGCTGATGCTAATTTATATTCAGCAAAATATGATATGTCTGTTAGTATTAATGAAAATGGACATGTTTTAGTTGGTATGCAATTTATTAATAGAGTATTCTTATTTCATGTTAATAAAATCAAACCAACAGAATTATATTTTATTAGTAGACATACAAATGGTAGAACATTAGGAAATGGAAAAAATATTGCTTGGTTAGAAAATGGTATAGCTGCTTTAATAGTCAATGTTTATACACTTGATTATGAATGGTCATCGTCACAAATTCATATTTATGATATTCAAACAAATGGTTATAATTCAACTATTACTCCTCTATCAATTTTTCCAAATAATCATCAAAAATTACCTCACAGTCTTGATCCAATATTTCTAAATATCGTTTCATCACCATCATCATTAGCATTACTTGATAATAAAGGACATATACTTATATTTCTTCCAACATTACCAGGCTATTATTTATCGATAAAAGATACAGAAACAATACCATTGATTACAACATCACAAGCATGTATGCCAGGAACATATAAAAATCAAACAGGAATTCATGATTGTACACTTTGTCCAAGTGGAACAAAAAATCCTGGCAATTCTAATACTTTTTGTATTCCATGTTCATCAAATTCATTTTGTCCTCTTGCTTCTGTAAATGAAGTACCTCAATCAGCATTAAAAGCTATAATTCAAGCTGTACCATATCCTAAATCACCAGAAAGTATTACATTTGATGAAATTCTCATTGGAAATATGTTTAGTATAAGATCAAGTCATTGTATGTTTATTTCACCATTATTTTGGACATTAATTGTAGGCAGTTTTGCTTTAATTGTCATGATTATAATGGGATGTTTAAAATATTTTACAAGAAATTCACGAGGACACAAACTAAGAAATTTAATAAAATTAATATTTCGACATACAGATTTAATTGGTGAAGGTGAATTATGGGTTGGTGGTTTAGTATCATTATGTGTTATTGTATTAATTTGTTTTGCTTGTATATTTAGTGAAAATTTTATACAACAATATCCTATAGAAACATCATCAAATTCATATTTTGATTGTGATACATCAATAAGAAATGCAAAATTTGAAACAAGTGTACAATCATTAGCAATACCATTTACAGATTCTAATCAAAAAATGTTTGATTTATTCAAAAATCAAGAATTTCTTTTAAATATTGATTTTATAAATACAGTAATTAAATGTGATTCTATATCAATTGAAGCTCTATTTGGTATAACATGGTCAACAATACGTTGGTTAAATTGTGATAATATTAATTATACATTATCATTATCGATACCTTTACCTTATCAACATTTATCTGTACAAGTTTTTATTGAAGATATTAAAACAATTGGTGCTTTACGTATTGGTCTTTATGGACATGAAATTAAAAATGGAAGTTATTTATTAAAAGAATTAAATTTTTATGAAGCATTTTTTAAAAATGGTTTAATATTAGCAAGATATTTACCTATTGCACTTTCAATAACAAAAGTTATTAATGAAACATTATCAATTAAAGGTTCAGAATCAAATTTTGATGGTATTTATATTCCAACATTTACTGTTGATTATAATAGTTTATTTTTTACAGCTGATCAATTTATTCGTTCAATATTAACATTCACAAGATTAATTGTTATTATTAGTGAAACTCCATATTATGTTAAAAATTTACAACAACCAATAGCTAAACCATCAGAAATTATTTTTCAAAATCTTTTATTTATAACTGTATGTTTAGAATTATTTGGTCTTATGTTTTTATCATATAAACTTTTTTTTAAACCATTGTATTATTTTCTTATAAAGAGAATGTTTATGGATCGTCAAAAAAATATTAATAATAAACAAACCGATGATTATTGTACATATAAACACAAACAATCTAGTGGTATTTATATAGAAATGAATCATACATCATATTTTTAAAAAAGAATTGTTTCGTTTATTTTGAATTTTTTATTTTGTTTAAAAATGTATTATAATTAATCTGGTGTTTATAATATAAAATAAAAATGTGATTGTAAATTAACAATAAAGAATTTGCTTTAACCGAAATCTAACTCATCACTTTCTTCTAGAATCATCTTGATACTAATTGTTTTTTTTTTAATGAACCAAAACTTTGAAATAGAATATCTAAATACAGATTTGAAAAGTTTTCAAAACTAATAAGTGACAAGAAGCAGATTTAAACTTTATTATAATATTCAAAGCAGACAATCTATTAGACATGATGAGAACATGTGGCATTGCTTGTACTTGATTAATATTGTCATTGAATATTGCTATGAATGCTCGTCTAGAATCCACAACTGTTACATTCTAGACAGTTGTTCTTGTGACAGTTGCTTGTCAGTAATACTTCCTCCCATATAAGCACTGAATAGAACTCTTATTGATTACAAGTACAATAGATTGATTTATTGAAATAAGGTGTAGAAATCAACAGTAGAATAATATTTTAGTAATTATATAAATAATAACAATATTATGTAATTAAAAGTTTCTTTTTTTCTTGTGTAGCTGTCTCTTGTCTCATCTTGATTTTTTATTCCACTGTTAAGCGTTTATTATAATTTTATAGATCTGTTGCACACTTATACACAGCAACTATCATTTACCAATAGTGATTTATTTAATTGTTCTTATTCGCTTAGTTATAAAAGAAATAGCATATTGATTCTGACAACAGTAGCAGTCATCATAGTTTTCATTTTGGTACTGATCACAAGCGAGAGGAAGTAGAAAAATGATCGCATGTGCTTATAAATATTGCGAAATACTTATTAACGACAATCCTTTGTTAGAAGGATTTATAAATTAATAGAAAGGATGCAAAGGATTACGAAGAAGTCGACAAAAAAGAGAAGAAGATGATGATGATATCAATATAGCAGAAGACGATAACCTTGAATAACTTTCATCAAACACAAATACCAGGAATAGCACTTTTGGACTTGGTAATTAGAGTATTTGATAGACATTAAAAATGTTAATTTTCTGTATAAGTCAGTTATTATCTATGTGAAATATATAAATTTGAACAATGTATGTCACACGTTTTTTGCATACATATTTTCTTTCAATCTTGTCATAAATCCGATTTGATGATCTGTTACTAATATTATACTATTATATAGTCTACACTGTCCTCTAGCAAACATCCAAGTAAAATAACAAACAAAAGCTTCAAAAAGAGTGATTAAACAAGCCATTCCTCAGTCTCAATTTGAGACCAAAGGACTATAGTGTGCGGATGTTACCGAAGAGAAGACTAATATCATGCAAACAATATAGCATTCAATCAGGCTAGTCCTGACAGTATTTCGATGTTAAGAAGAAAGTGTCAAACAACAAAAACCAAGGACAGTTCCGAGAACTTTTTGATCATCCTATATACAAGATTATAAAAGTATCTAAACTAATCCAACTGCCATTTGCAAAATAATATGGAATAGTACAAAATACAATCAATCTCAAAAGTTTAAAATTACTTTACAATACAATTCTCTTATTGCATATTTACTTATCAAAAACATCGATATCAATTGCAAATATCTAATAAATCAAAATAATTATTATTTGAATGCTTTGATATTTTGTCAAAATAGATTTAAAAATTGATTCAATAGAGTAATATTTATTAAATTTATTTTTATTATAAATTCATTAATCTTAATCAATACTAGTTCGTAAAAGTCTTTTTTAAAACTTATGTTATCAAACAATTTCTCCTCACGAAAAATACATTTGAACAATAATGATGATGATAAATTCTTTCCCAAACACGAATTATTTTTTAACAAGACTAAATACGATCGACTTACAAAAATATCCAAGTAGGGATTAGCAAATAGAATAATAAATTTAAAATGAAAAAAAAAACCGAAAGAAGAAAAGAAAGAAATCAAAACTGGGGTCAACAAGGAATAAGATCAAAACAGAAAACAAACAAACAAACAAAAAAAAACAAACAAAAATACGGGAAGCACACACATAAGAAATACAAAAGACAAGAAAAAAAGAAGAAGAAACGCATAAGTTTTTATGAGATTGATTTTTCTACATATTTCATAGTCTATATACATATAAACTTGAGTTTAATGACACATACATATAGAACTAACAAACAGTATTTGAACAAGTACATCGTTTAAAAAAGTCAAGTGACTGTCTATAAGAAAAACCACTCGCACATGTCATGCGAAAAAATCGTCGTTTTGGTTCAACTGGTTTACAACATGATGTTTGTGTACCATTATTTAATGATGAACATAAACCTGAACATTTTGTCATACGTAAACGTCTCTTACTTGTACATTTTGTTAATGGATCAATATAAAATCCTTTTTCAATAATTAAATCACATGAATTTATTAATGGTAATGCAATTGATGTTGTTATAGCTAAAGAAAATATTTTTTTTTTTAGTTTGTAATTAAATTTTACAAAAAAGAAAAAGAAAAGATTATTTACGTTGACTACAAGTTAATCCTGTATAACCTTCATGACATATACATTTATAATCTAAACCATCAAGACGACATTGACCATGTTGACATGTAGAAGTTGCACATGATAATTGATTACGTTCATTAGTTTCACAACCAGGTAAAACTTTATGACGATAATCAACATTAGCAAAATTTATTGGATCATCATTTATATACAATGCATGAATACAACCTTGAAAACGAGAAAAAATAAAATTCAATGGATAAACAAAATTTTTCGATCGGAAAGTTTTTCGACATGATGTTTGTTCACTTTTGATCCTATAGAAAGTACTTCCGATGAGTTAAGACTAGAACTTTGCCATGTTTTTGAATATTGTTTTAGTTTTTGTTCAAGGATAATGAGGGATTCAATATTGTTTTATTGCTTACCTTGAAATGATATTGCTTCTCGTATATGCCATAATTGTAAAGCTCTAGCTGTTAAATCATTTGGTAAACCACCTATATATAATGCATGTATATCACTTGTATTTAAATAAGCATTTTGACCACGATTATTTATATAACGTGTATAACCACGATCAACAGTTAAACTAAAATTTTGTCCAATACTAATTAATTGTAATTCATGAACTTTTCCTAAAAAAAACAGATCAGAACATTGAATTTATTGTGAAACACAATATAAAAGGATGACACAGAAATCTACATCATATCTAAAAACCGAGGCAGGAGTGGCATTTTCTTTTTAATTTATTTCGTAATAAAATTTACGCGAATTATTTAAGTTTAAAAAGAATTTATATTATCAGCATCACAATGGAATTTACTAAGGTTTTAGTTAGATCGATTTGTTTTTAGGATAAATTTTGATCAAAATTCATTACGATTTAATGAATATGAAATAGGGTAATAAAACAAACGGTATCTTAGAAAGAATGAGTCTGTCAACGATTAAATTCCTTCTTTCCACTTTTCAGTATTTGATATACATTCATTTTTAAAAATTTCTAGTAATAGAGTTTAATAGCTGGTAGGATTATGACGCGGACGATGTGCGTCTCTGTCGTGACAGACATTGTTGATATACGATACAGGATCTACTTAAAACTGTTTCTGATTGACAATTAAGATAGATTATCCAATCTTAATTGTTTTCGAATTGGATTCATATCGATTTTAGTTGGTTCTGATAAATCTTTCAATCAAGATCAATGAAGATAATAATTTAAGTTGTGGATATATATATATATATTTATATATACTATTCGTATCTCGTGAAATGACTATCTACAATTTAAATTCATAAATTATTCTATAATGCAAAACTGATCGATCTATTCCAAGCATACGAGAGAGAAGAGCTCGTCAATGTATAAATGACCATCAAATCAGATCGTACGGTTAAAAACTTTTCTTGCGAAGAAACAACGTCTGTCGTGGTGTGATTTTTCTTTCCCGTCTTTCTTTATTACTAGATATGTCACTTAATCTTTCAGCATATATTTATTTCGCTTATCTTAATCCATTGATAGATAAGAGTGAAATTAAAAATGAGACAAATCCAGAAAAAATTAAGTTAGGATCAGTTTAGGAAGACATCAATTACAGATCGTATATTAATAACGTCTTAGTATAATATATGAACTACTTTCTTATTGCAGGGAAAAATACTCCTGTCGTGCGACTGCCTATTGGCAAATTTGATAGTCCGATATTTTCCTTACAACTATGACTAGCTGTAGCTCTGGATAGAAGGTCGATCTGACACAGACTTTCTGCATTCAATCACTTCAGCTCTCTACATATTGACAAACCACATACTATTCTCAAGAGTAGATGTATGTCACAACTTAGTCAGCATGCTATCGCACGGATGATCCGAGATAAACAGTCATTAGTGATTTGTTCAGGATCGTTCCATGATTGGTGGTACCGACATTCAAATACAATACATATCGGATACATACTGCATAGCCTAGCCACTCCAGCAATGACGAGTCAGAAGATTAAGTAAAAGGATGATGCAAAAATGTGTCCCAAAATCGATAGAATACAACAATCTCTCTATGATTATCAACATCAACTATATCGTATTTATACATTTCAATCCCGTAGGAATTACGTTAACAGCTTGTGTTTTATTATTATATTATTTTCTTACCATCATTAACAGTATCATAACTAAACATAACTGAACCCGGTGAATTTCCAACATCATAACTAACACGTATTCTACCCATAAAAATTTCAGCAACTAAATGTCCCAAATGACCAAAATAAACTAAAACACCACTATTATGTATTGTACTAAATACAATTGTAATATTTGAACGTGGATATACATTTGGTTTAGGTAATTTCATATATGAATCATTTGTTATTGAATGTATACTTTTTAACATAACACAACGATCACCAATAAAACCTGGATAACAACGACAACGAAGAATATTTAATGATTCTTCATAACAAATACCATTATTTGAACAAATATCCGGTGAACATCGTGTTGGAGATATATTAGTTATATTTTTCATAAATGATGATTTTAATTGTGGTGCGATTTCACAATATTTTCCACTGAAACCAACATCACATTTACATGTATAACCATTAAGACCATCAACACATACACCAAATTGACATACATGATTTGAACAATCATTTAAATTTTCCGTACAATTTATTCCTCCCCAACCTAATGAACATTCACATCTAAAATAATATTTTTTTTTTAAGAATAATTCCTTAAAAAAAAACAATTGAAAATAATCTTACTTATAACCATTATTTGTTGTTAAACAACGTGCATTATTTTGACATGGATTTAAATTTACATCACACCAATTTAATTTTGCTTCGCAATATTTTCCTATAAACAATTTAAAATTCTTTCATTTTTGTTCTATTATGTTTTGTTTTTCTACTTACCAGTAAATAATGGTAAACAATTACATGAATAATCATTTATTTTATCAATACATGTTCCATTATTTTGACATCGATGTAAGATACAATCATCAATATTAATTTCACATCGATATCCTGTAAAACCATGTAAACAATGACATTTAAAACGACCATCAGATAATGTTTGACATTGTCCTTGTTGTTTACATGGATTATCAAAACAAGCATCAATTAATTTTTCACAACGTTCACCATGATAACCTGGTAAACAATGACATATAAATTTATCCATTGATATTCCACGACATGAACCATTATTCGCACAAGGATTTTCTTCATTTAAACATGGATCACATTGTTGTTGATAACGATTTGATTCCGTTTCATCTAATTATTTCATTTTTCTTTTTACAAAAATTTAGAACAAAATTGAGAAATACATACTATTACATTGAAAAAAGAAGATAGGAGATGTGAGAAGCAGTTTATTTGCCATTTGAGGTGGACCAGCACATCGAGCAATACCTATTTAATTAATATACGTAATAATAGGAATTTTCAACAGAACAAATTATGTTAAGGAACCTACTCAAATATCACATTTTGATTTTAATGTTTTTTTTGCCTGCAGATACTAATTAATATTCTAGTGAAAAAGTTTTTAAGACTTAACAGAGCTATTGAATTTTTCATATGTTTATTTGTTTGGAGTCGTACATGAGTTTCAAGCAAATAAACATACTAAAACTTTAATAGTTCCGTTAGTTCTCAAGAGAAACTCAAATCCTTTTTTTGAAATTTTCACTAGAGTACTATGGAGTATCTATTGGCAAAAAAATCATCAAAATCACTAGAAAACATCCTGATAGGACTCTCTCTCGTTAGTTGTATTTTTGAATAACTTCAGAGTGAAACCAGCTATTGATCTATAGTCTTCGTTAATAATCAGATCAATTAAAAATTTTAAACCGTTTAAACAATGAATGCTTCAATTTCTCTCAAGTAACAATAAAACTTTTCTTGTTTGATGTTCAAAAGAATAAGTAGAATTTATTCTTAGCGCATCAACAATACAAACTAGAAAGTTAGACTTTGTACAGACTGAAAGACCTTGATATGTCTTATTGAATAGATGCATCAATTTCTGCATTTTCTACTCAAAAATATTTTTAATACAGATACTTCAAAGAATTAGAATAGGAGCCTATACAACAGAGTCCGTCAGGCTGGTCTCAGATCCGAAAATTTTGGACTCGGCAGGCTCTACTATAGAATATTAATAGGCAAAAACTAGAAATTAATTTCGAATAACTAAAAATTCAATCGAACTCATTTTTTATATGAGAATTCTTACCAGGTTCAACATAATCCGTTTTAATCCATGATGATAACCAACCCAAATGGCAATCACAATAAAGTGGATTACCTCCAAGTGCACTACAAATAAATAAATATCATTATTGTCATCCTTATAAAACTAAATTCTTCTACTTACACATGTGATAAAGCTGTAAGATCATTAAATGAACCTTCTGGTATAGTTGAAATTTCATTTCCATGTAATGATCTAACAAAAATGAAATAAGTTTTTTTGAGTCTTTTTTTAAAAAAAACACAAATTTCTATTTAAATACATACAAAATTCTTAAATTTTTTAAACCTTTAAATGATGCTGATTCTAAACAACGAATTTTATTATAAGATAATATTAATGTTTCAAGTCGAGTTAAATTTAAAAATATATTTGCTGATATTGAACGTAATTTATTATAACTTAAATCAATTCTTATCAAATAAATAAGACGATTTGTTAATTCTAATGGTATTTCTTGTATATCATTTGCATCTAAATATAATTCTTCTGTATCTAATGGCATTTGTTCATATGGTATATTTTTTAAATGTGCATGTGAACATCGTACAATATGATTATAACATGAACAATTTTGTGGACAATGATTTGGATACGATACATCACATGCATCGATTTCGGTAGCTTAAATAAAATGAATATGATATTTGTTTGTTTCTTTTGTTTCGAATTAATTAATAAATTACTTACGATTACAAACAAAATCATCATCAGTTAAATTGACAATCTTAAAATTAAAAAGAAATTAATATTAAAAATGAGTTTATTTAAAAAAAAATACTTACAGGAATATTTCGTAGTTTTGTTGGTGACATACATCTAATGGATAAAAATAAATTTGTAACAGAAAATTATTTACTATCCATTTCAAAATATAAGGTATTTCACTGTTTTTTTGAATAACTTCTGATAGAAATCTCGTAGAGATCTGCAGTTTTCACCACTCAAGAGAGAACATCGTAGGTCATCGAAATTTGATCGGTTAACAGTTGATCAATCAGGTAAATTCTAAGTGAAGATTTTCGAAAACGATATTCTGAATTTAGTTCTCTTTCGATTTAGACTTTTAATAGGACTAATCGATAGGAAGTATTTCTTTCTTTCTATCTACACAAAGCCGATATTTCTAGCATGTTCCATTCAAGAGTTATAAGAATTTTCCGGAGATCTCGATTTCAACTGATTGACATATGATCACCTGATAAAACAGCTAGGCAGGTGAAATTCGCCATACTGAGTCGAATGGATCTTCTCTCTTGGATGCGGAAAATCTCAGGTCTCTATGATGTTCTTATTAAAAGTTATCCAAAAAATAGTAGAGCACATTAAATTTTAATCTATGGATAGTAGTATTACTTACCTAGGATATCCAGTAACAATTTTACTTTGTTTCAACCAACTTTTTAACCATTTCATATGACAATTACATACAAATGGATTTGATAAAAGATCCCTATTGAAAAGAAATATGAAAAGAAATTTATTTGAATAACTATTCTTACAAAGCTGATAATGATCGTAATCGATCAAATGAACCTGGTGCAATACATTTAATACGATTATCATGTAATGATAATGTTTTAAGTGCATCCATATCAGAAAAAGTATCATTTTTAATATAAGTTAATTTATTTGTACGTAACATTAATGTTCGAATATTTTTTAAACCATGAAATGTTTGTGGTGTTATTATATTTAAATTATTATCACTTAAAAATCTATTTTAATCGAATTAAAAATAAAATGAACGTTTTAAAAAGAAAATAAATATTAAATTTCTTACAATTCATTGAGTGAATCAGCTCCATCAAAAGCATCATCATCAATTTCTTCTAATCGATTATTTCTTAAATCACTATTTAACAAAAACAAATATAGAAATTATTTATTTTTGTATAATTTATTTTCAATTACATACAGAGTACGAAGACTTCTTAAACGTCGAAAACTACCATCACGTGGAACTCGCTTGATTAAATTATCTTGTAGATGACTAAAAAAAAACAAATGAACAAAATTTCAATAAGAATATGAGTAAAATTAACAAAACCGAGACAGAACTATCGTAGATTTTACTTTCACTCCTTTTATAAGGATTATTTTTTTAAACAAATTCTCTTCTCATGAATATATGCATATAAAAATATTGACTCTTTTACCTTATATCTAATAAAAATTAATTGTTTAGTTAACTAATGTTTAATTAATTAGTTAAGTAATTAACACTTAATTAGCTAACTAATTAAAAATTAATTAGAGAATAATTCGCTGACCTTATGATAGACAAGTTCAAGAATTTTAGAATAGATGTCATGACATGAACTATATCTATCAACGGGGGGAAAGAGTTGATTCTTTTTTAATTTGATATCAATTTAATCGAAAAAAATCACTTATTCAAAGAAAGTTTGATTTTAAGTATATTCTTATAATTTAAGTCTATAGATAGAACTTGATTATTAAAAGAAACCGATTCGTATATTTAGAAGATGAGGTCTATCATAATAAGTACAAAAAGTGATGTTTGCAATTTAAAGTTGGTAGAAAATCAGAGAAATTTGCTTTCAGCTCTTTTCCCTTAAGATCTTTAGTGAATATTTTCAGTAAGATAGGAATTCTGAAAACAAGGTCTTCCAGAGATCTACTGATGTCCCAGAACGATATTTTTTGTTTCTAGTATCATCCGAAGATTGTCAATAAGAATTTGTATTATTTGGAATTGATATTAGTACTTCTCGTTCAGTTCCAAGAGAATCTTTCGTTTCTATATTCCTACTCGCTCAAGTTGCTAACAAAGAATAAATAAAAATGTTTTTATAAGGTTAAGTATGTCTAGGAATCCTTTACGTAGAGATTTTATAGTGTGAAGAGTCCTCTACACAAGTGCACTATTTAGTTTTCATAAATACTGTTTGAACTTCTAGTATTGGTAAACGAATACATGCATAGTAACAACATTTGTTCTTTTTTTTTTTTTGGTATCAAGTCACTAACGTTAGTTTTTCAATAATAACTCGGCGGAACAAAAGTTTATAGGACTGAGAGTAATTTTACATGACTCTGGTATAAAAAAATCAGCTAAAAGAAATTCTAGAGTCTAAACATATATATTTTTTTACTTTCTAAAATCACATCGTTAACAAATGAAACTGCCCATATTCTCTTCATTGGACAGATAAATCAATCGAAATCCTGATAATTAGTAACTCTCGAAAATCATTATTTCATTATTTGAATGAAAATTAAACTTGTCTATTATTCAGAATTGATCCCGAGGAAGCAGGATCATCTCGAAGATCTTCTCTAGAAGATAAAATCTCAATAAAACATTTGAAATAAATAAATCCAAACCGCACAGAAGTTTTCAGATAAACATATTATTCTCAATTTAAATTTCTTTACTTCTAAGTATTGATTTAATATAAATATATAAATTACTCACAGTGCAGTAGTAAACGGTGGTATATCATTAGGTATTTCTTGTAATTGTAATCCACGACAAATAACAGTTGTACCATCACATGTACATCCTTTTGGACATTGTATTTCACATTGCGTACTATAAGCTGTTTGTTCATATTCCATTCGATCTAGTTAAAATAGAAAAATGAAATTCATTGCTTTTTTTCTCGATTAATGAAAAAAAAAAGAATTGTTGAAAACAAACTTCGACATCGAAATCTTCGATCATTTAAAACACCAAATTTTCGTTTTGCCATACGTCTTGGTCCAGCACAACGAACACCACTTGTTTCAATTGTTTTTTCACGTAAATAAGCATTTAACCAACGAAGATGACAATCACATATAAATGGATTACGAGCCAAATGTCTGTAAAATTTGTTTTTTCTTGGTTTTTAAACAATCAATCAATTAAAACTTACAATGTTTGAATACTTTTCAATGGTGTAAATGTATTATTAACTAATGTTTTAAGTTTATTATCATATAATGATAATAAACTTAATTTTTCTAATCCACGAAATGTATCACCACGTACACATACTAATTTATTTGCATTAAGCAATCTGTGTGTAAAAAAGAAAAATATAAAATAAAATTTCAATAAGCTTTATCTTTAAAATATTTTTCTAATAGAACAAAAAAAACAGCAGATTACAAAACAGTAAAAAGAAAAACAACAAGCAATTACAGCTAAGCTTACTCACAAGAGTTGTAGATGCGTGAATTCGTGATGAAATATACCAAATGGTAAATGCACAAGCTGATTGTTTGAGAGTATACTATATCCATAACCAATAAATAAGAATAGAATAGTTCATGCGTGTGATTATGTGAAACAAAAAAAATATTAAACTGTTTTCTAGCATGGGCGATCGTTTTTTTTTTCATGCTATAGTAATTTACCATCACCAACTATTATTATAAAAGTGTATCTATGTGATAGTGAATATTAAACATGCCTTTCCCTCATATCAATATATTTCTGTCTTTTTTTTCCTGACACTCACAAAAGCTGTAGAGAGTTCAATTCACTGAACGCTTCAGATGGTAACATTTTGAGATTATTTCGATAGAGTATACTAAATAATATTTTTCTTAGTCATATATTCATAATAAAAATCAAATATTCAAAAACCAAAAAAGAATATATATATATATATATATGTAAATACGTACAGTGAATTAAGTGATTTTAGACCAGCAAAAGAATCAGGATAAATTGTTGATATTAAATTATTGCTTATATCTCTAAAATTTGAAAAAACAAAATTTTTTTGAAAATAAAAATCATTAATAAAAAAAAAAAAAAATTTTTACTTACAAACGTCGAAGTTTTTTCATATGAAAAAATATTTTTGGTGGAATTTCCATAATACGATTTTTTTCCAAACGTCTAAAACAAAAAAAAATAAAAATTTAAATACAAATAATAATAAAAAAAAATTGATTACAATTCAATTGTTGTATCTGGAATATTTCTTGGAATTTCCATAAGATCTTTATCTTTACAATCGACAACACCATTAAAACACGTACATGGATATGGACATACAGGTACATTACATGTATAATCGATATCATCAATATCTATTGAAAAAAGAAAAAGAAATCTATTATTCATTTATAATGGGGCAATTAAGATTTTACCCATGCTATTGCATTGTTTTTCATCATCGATTAATGATGTTATATCTTTATAACTCAACGTATCAGCATCTTGACATCGTGCATTAAGACCAAGAAATGGATGTAATTTAAGATATTTAGCAAGCCATAATAGACGACAATCGCATACGAATTGATTATCATGAAGACGTCTTTAAGAGAAGAAAAAAGAGAAAAATAAAAATAAAAATTTTTCATGAGAATAATTCATTCATGTGGAACAATCATTCACTATACATGCCATATAAATGTGTGAGTTTTATGTTTATCAAATGTATACTTACAAAACCCTTAAATCGATCAGTCGTGCAAATGGTAAGACTGGTAGCGTTGTTAGATTGTTGAAATTCAATGTGCTAGAAGAAAAAATCAATAACACACAACACCAATAAACCCAAAAGTTATCATGCAAATACTATTTGACGAATGATTCTAATTACAAAAAAAAATCTATTCTACTATAATTAATAGATAACTACAGTGATGAAACATGACAAGACTATATATATACAATATTACTCACACAATCTCCAAACGATTGAGTCCATTAATAGCGTCGGCTTCAATACAAGTGATCTCATTGTGATCCAATTGTCTACATGATGTAATGATAAGAATATCAATATTTTTGTTTAAATAATCATTTATATACACTCACAAATTATCAATAACTTGGAGGCCCTGTAAAGTTCCTTTTTTAATGGCGCGTAATTGATTAGAACTGAGATCCCTATTAGAATAAGACAAAAAAAACAACAAATACAAATTATTTTTTTCTGTTTGGTCCTTGAGTCAAATGTAATAGCATACAATCGTTGAAGTTGTTTAAGCGATGCAAATGTGCCATCGGCAAGGTGATTTAGCTTATTACCGTTGAGACGTCTAGAAAAACATACACGTACTGTAACCCATATATCAATCAAATATTCCATCTATCTGTACTGTCATCATCATCATCATCATCATCATCATCATCATCATCATCATCATCGTCATCATCTCTTTTCTACATCTTGGTCAGTCATTCATTCATATTACATAAATACACTCAACTACATTGATTGTCTATCATTAGACGGCTGCAGGCAGAGAACAACAAGAAGGCAGGTTACATTATTTGTTCATTTCAATTAGTCTCTATCAATATGTCTGTTCAATGAAGCGAACGACATATAGTCAGACAAATGATATGACCGGTCATAAAAAACTATGAGAGGGGAGGACAGACAGAGATTGAGTTCTCCTTCTCACTCTTTACATATATATATATATGTATGTAGTTATCGACGAGTCGCAAATAACTGTAATTTTAAGAGTAGCACAGCGGTAATCGCAGACATATGGCGATTGTTGAATATTACAAGCTCATTCTCAATTGAATGATGTGATGATGAATGACGACATATCGAGACAAAGAACAAAAGCACTGTTTGAGAAAGTTGCATGATTTCAATTAGGGTTTTTTTTTCTTTTGTGTGTTTATAATAATTATAAAAAAAAAGAAATCAAATTGAATTTCACTTACAATTTTTCTAATGATATTAAATCTCGAAATGCATCAGTATCAATTGTATGTATTTGATTATCTTGAAGATTTCTATATGAAAAATAAAATCATAAAAATAAAATTTACACCAATCTGTCAATTTCTCAAGCTTTTTTAAAACTTATAAGATAATACATCTACGTGACCTCGATTTTTTGTTATCATCACGTCTCCTCTTTTTTTTTCTTCTCCTTCTTAAATATATGTGTGTATGTCTTGAACTTGAACTTGTTCTAATCTCTTTCTATTATTATTATTATTTAAGATATGAACATCCGATTCATATTAGACTTGATTTTTTCTATTGTATACATATTTAAAAAAAAAAAGAAAAGAACAAGGTAACCCATTGAGAAGGTCATTAAAGTTGATGTTCTCTTATTTGTATTCTTTCTACTTGAAATACACAAAAGTTTATTGAATGTATAATTTTCACATATGTATACATCACACGAAATCTTCGAAAGCTTCATCAGTTTGTGTGCATGTGTGCTTATTCTCTTATTCTCCTGCTTGTGTGTCTACTTGACCTTGTCATTGTACGAACGTCGGAAGAGGAAGAAGAGCTCTTAACCTTGTCAATAAGAGAACAGTTCATTCAAAGATGTTCATTCAATAATAAAAAGAAAAAAAACTAAAAAAAATATCTATTCCTTGTGTTTTTTTTATTTATTATTAAGTTATATTACTTACAAAATACGTAGTTGACGAAAGGCTTTAAAATCATCTTTACGGATTATTGATAAATTATTGAATTGAAGTTCTCTATAAATATAAAACAGATTTATATTAAATTATCGATTATAGACAAAATTCAAATGAGAAACTTTTCAAGTTCTCTTGAGAAGTGAACTTTATCATAAATCTCTTTATTACACTTCTTGTGTAAGATGTACCAATCATTTTCTTTTTTTTTTCCTTTTACTTGATTCTTTATCATAGATAATTTATCCAACATTACACTTTATTGATTATTAAGGAAAAAATTATCACATACATACATTATTTCTCTACTCCCCCCATATTTCCGGCATGTCAATTATGCAAATTTGCATATCAAGAAAAAAAAAATTGTGTAACATATTAATTGAGCGTCTATATTATAGTAAAAGAAATAAGAGGGCTAATTTAACGGTCATTCGAATATTTATGCTCATATATATACATATATATATATATTGATTAGTATTTGGTTCATGCATGCTTTTATTTGTGAGAAATATAGGTGACAATGAATTAGGCGAGGTCATACAAACAAAATATATACAAAGAAAAAGTAAAAGCGAATAAATCATAATGATAATCGAGCAGAACACAAATTGCTCTTAAGGTTGATCGAATAACATGAACTTCTCATTTGCCATATCCTTCTTATGTGCTTCTTTCGGATAAGCAATCGATAATTGAAGTAAACTGATTTCTATCATTACTCGATGGGTGTGGTTGAACGAAACATAATTGTCCTTGATATTTCATCGTCTAAATACTTTCTTTTGAATTAAGATGATGGAGAGAGTGAAAAGAAAAATGTTGTATATTTTTTGTTATCATCAATTACTCGCTGAGCTCTTTAGTGTGTGATGCAATAATTCATCTCATCATACTCAAAGTTGACAGGCCACCTTTGGAGTTCGAGATAGTAGTAAAATGGGCGGGCAATGTTACTGGTTGTAGTTTTTTCACATTAGTATGACAAGCTTTCTTTTACTCTTTTTACTTTCTATTACTCTTTTTACTTTCTATTGTATATGCCCAATTCTTTATATATGTCCATGGTTGGTGTGAACCATTTATTCATTGTGATGAAGGCAAAAATGAAGAAAAAAAATGTTGATTCTATCGTTTTTGTATACATATATACATATATATATATATACAAAGTACAGGTGAAAAAAGAAACCTTTCAATCATTCTACTTTCGTTGAACACATTTTATGAGCTATAATCATTGTTCTATCGTGCAAATATTCTTCGAATGAAACCATAAAGAGTAAAAGCAACGGCACGAACTTTTCTTTTTTATGTAGAACAACAGAGGTATTAGGTCAATATAAGAAACAATATTCATGTCTTGAAATATGAATGAAATCATGCGATTTTTACTTCTTTTTCTTCTTCTTCTTCTTATTTAAACTTCTTGTCCGAATTTTAAGGTACCTTATCCTTAGTTGCATCACGATTGATGAGCATTGACCTTTCTGTTTTTTTTCGTGCTATACAAAGAAAAATGCAGACAAGAAAATGATTCATATGAAGAAGAAAAAAGTGAATGATAAAACAATGCATATATCTATATAGATGAGTAAAGCTTGTGCATCAATCTTGTCTACGATCAGCTAAGGTGTGCGTGCATACTTTATTTTATTCTTTCTCAGCACTCATATATATATATATATATATATATATATATATATAGAAACGATTATTGTTCTCTATGACCAACAAAAACACTTGGCATTCACTTTAGTTTTGTTTACGAATAGCATGTGTATGGCGTAATCTCTTTTATACATCGTTCATTGATCTATCTCAACCTGGCAAGAACGTTAAAGAGCGTGCATACGCGTCAACGACAAAGCTAGCAAGAAGTACAAACATATACATATATATATACATATATATATATATATATATATATCTATATACTTTGATTATTTGTTCCGTTCCGTGCTTAAAGATTGATATAAATACTTGCCGATTATGATTAAGGTTGCATAAAAGATTCTATGACGCAACATATATAGAAAATGAACGGCATTATAAAGGGAAAAAAAAGAAGAAAAGAGCGGAAAGATCGACACATAGGAAAGACCTATCGATCTGTTTATGTTTTTGGATGAAGACATCTTTACACTCTTAGATACATACAACGTCATATATGCCTATTCTATAAAATTTAAATCTATCGAGACTAACTGAAAATGACAGGCGAGCAATCATAGAGACAACAATTGTATTACATCAACATAAAGTTATCAATGAAGCGAAACGACGCGGCGTTGTCTCTATCACGAAGGACGCATCAATCCATCTGTATACATTCAATTCAGATAATAAGAAAATAAAACAAAGCAAAAAAAACCAAGGGAAAGGAAATGTGAGAAGCTTTTCAATTTCTCTTTTTATACTCTCATTTTCCAGTTTACATCACACAAGCATATACCTGAAGAATTCAATCACACGCTCGCAAAAATTCAATTGTGCGTAATGACATCATCAGCAATGATTTGTGCAGTTGCACTACTCTCTCTTACAAGTTAATCTCATTGAATCGTCATGCAAACACGTTTCAACAAAAGAGATTAGGACCTTCTCTTTTTATTCATTGATTATATATGTATATATCAAGGTCAAATAAGCAATTTTATCTTTTTTTTTTCTTTCATTAATAGAATACTTACAGTTTAAAAACATTTCGTGGTATACCAGCTGGTATTGTTTGTAGACCTCGATTGCTACAGTCAACATTTGGTCCATGACATGAACAAACAGATGGACATGCACCAATAATATGTGACTGAAATAATAAAAGAACGTAAATACTACACGTTAATAAAAGTAGGGTCATCTTGTCGTTGCGATGATTCGCCTTTGTCGATTTGCTTTAAACATTAGTCGAAATAAATAAAGTAGATTTTGGTTATATGTTTGTAAAATATGGGTTCTGGTAACGAGTATCAGCAGGCAAGCAGATACATAAGAGAAAAGATGCGATAATTGTTATATGATGAAAAGAAGGAGTTGTAGCAGTAACAGCAGCAGCAGCAGCAACAGCAAGAAAAGTAGCAGTGACGATGCTCTTTACTCATACACGTTACTCGCAATATACACATATACACTGGACATTCATCAGCTCTGTTCTCGTTTGTTCGTTCGTTCGTTTTGCGCTCTCTTTCTATAAGAACAAAAAAAAAAGCTGAGAAGAAAACGAGAGCAAGAGAGAGAGAGAGAGAGAGAAAAAAGAGTACAACCAGAGGCGAAAAGAGAGAGAGGGAGAGAGAGAGAGCAGGAGAATTGATTGTGATACTGATTACTAATAATCGTCGATGAGAAAAGAAGAATCGAACAACTATATCATAGACATTGCAGACGCAACATTACTACCGATCAAATAGATAGATTTCAAATTCAGCGTGACTAACAATGGGAACGACTACGGCATTAAGATAACCTCGAAATCAGATCTCATATGACTGTTCAGAGGCTTCAGGATCGCTGACAAGTGTTGTCACGATGTGGCAGTAAAGTGAAAAAGAAGGCAGCACAAAAAAAAAGAAACAGGCTAATATATTTATTGAGGCGACAATCGTCGCCTCGAGGGTAGTATACAAAATGGCGGACTTTCTCTTTCTATTGTCTACTCTGATGTATTTTACAAACAGAAAAATGAAGCGAGCAACATCATCGTCATTTGTCGTAGTACTAATACTACTCATCCATACCACTTGATAATCAAATTTAAGAGAATAAAAAGAGGAAGAATATGGGTAGGAGTGAACAATAATGATGTGAATGAAGAAAATCGTTACGTAGATCGTTCGCTTTTTAGGCAATTAGACATGGTATATATATATATATACATACTCATATACACATAGCTTTCTTCTTTTTCTAAGTGCAATTGGGCTATCATCATGTACTAATGCTTATATGCTATTTGCCTCGTTCATCAACTTCTTGTATAGTTTAGACATGATGCTTTTTTCATAAGAAGTATTTGCTAATCGTTCATTTTCTAATCAAATACTTCGATGTGATATGTTCAAACAAGAAAATTGTTCTCACGATCACTTGTCTAAATGTATTGTATCGTAAACACAATAGAAGAGAGATAGACGACATAAGACAAAAAAAAAAAAGGAAAGAAATCAAGACATGAACAAAACATTTTTTTTTTTAAACACATCGTTTCATATATTAATTAGAGAATATTTATTAAAAGCATCATATGTCTGTTCTAATTATGATAGACAATTATGATCAAATAGAAAATCTTAAGTTAGATAAGTATAGTCTACATCGAGTTGCAGACTTTGTAAACAATAGCCTTGTGAATATTAGAAGTAATTAAATCAATCGATTCAATAAATTTCCTAATCTAATGTATACAATATAGACCTCTCTCTTTTTTTTAAACATTAATTGTCCTTTTTTTTTTGTTGTTCTTTTAGAAATTTATTATCGATTAGCAAGCAAATAAACATTCATTTTCTAGAAAATGTCTCAAGGAAATTTATCTTTATATAATGACACATCATCGCTTATAGACAAAAACCCATCATAAACATACATAACTAAAATTTATCAGTAACAGTTGCTTGACAATTCCGAACAATCTAAGATAGTCGACTTATAGACTTAACGTTTAGTAGCATCTTAAGACATTTGTTACTCGTAATAATATTAATATTGTTGATATGATGACGACTTTGAGTTTGATATATATATATATATATACGTATCTAAAGAATGTCCGAAGGACATATGAAAGATGATTTGATTAGGTTTCATATTTACTTTTCAATAATCTAGTTAGAATATGGCTTCAAATCAAAATAAAAAAGAATATTTTTAATCAAATATGAACGTGTGGTGAACATATTGACACTTCATATTGAAGTTATGTAGATCATGTTGTAATCGAATATGAATTAATATTCATGTTAGGTTTTTTTTTGTTCTTTCGTTCATTTCGAAACCTTGAAAATTGATCTTCATAGAGTTTTATAATTGTTTTATCGATATACTTAGAAAGTATGCCAAAAGTAATGAGATTTTTAAGAAAAAAAAAACACACAAACAAGTTATTCTAGATTTTATTTCATTAAATGTTTCAAATAGTTGTTCTGATTATTTACATACAAACTGCATTCATTCGAAGACACTTATCGAAAGTTTTTTTTTTATAGTCATCTTTGTTGATTTAGTTCATGATCTTGGTTACGGCACGGTGTAACAATTGTGAGTTGCTTTGATCAGATTGAATAACCAAAAATAACACGGTACCAAATGTAGAGAATTTGATGATTGTTGAATAATTTTGATATCTTCCGATTCAAAACAGTTTGAAATATCTTTGTGTCGATGTGCTTTTGCATTGTCATGACAAAGTTTTATGGCACGTGTACTAGATGTTAATGTTTTCTGTCGGATTTTCTCGAAAAGAGGTTTCAAGCAATTATCAATGTAATAGTAATGATCCGTGATAGACGGGGCTGTCCCACGCTCTTGCTCATGCTTATGTGCTTCGTATGTTTTATTCTTTTCTTGCTCGGTGAATACGTTTTGAAAGCGTGAAATTATTTCTTCGATGTTCTGTCAGTGCGAATAGAATCATAAGATCGTACAACATGCGCTGCATGAAGATTTACATCAAGTTGTATAAGCATGCGATAGAACACGTGACAACTCCGCCTATTTCTAGTGGTGGTCTCCGCTTGATCAACATGATGAAGTAAAATAGTATCAATCGTTTAAAAGAAGAGATACAAAATAGAATTTTTGGAGCAAAGTGCCTGCATCGAATTACTATAGTCACTTGTCACTACTGTAATTTCGTCAAGTTTTCTTGATAGAGCCGAATCTGTTGAACACGTTAAGTATCAGCCAGTAAGTTGGACATCCAGTGAGCAATAATTTTTTTTCAGCTCTGAATAATCAGAAGTAATCTGTTAAATAATACCACGATTCATACCAGTCTCCACTTGTATTTCATCAATTGTAAGATGAAAATCATCATCAATGAGGCAGTAAAATTCTTGAATATTTTCAGATGTTGTTTCAGTTACAGGTCAATCAAGTCATGGTTGAATTTTCAAACTCTTCTCGTCCTTTCAAAACCATTTTGATCATTTGACAACGGTATTATAAGATGATGCTTGATCACCGAAAACAGAATGCAATTTGTCATGAATGGTTTTCGATTGAATGTTAAATGTAGTACGCACCTTAATATAGAAACGATAATTTTCTTTAATCATCCAAAAATTATGGTGCATAATTTTCATTGAAATTTTTCATATAATAAAATTACTTGACTAATGTTACTATAGTACAAATATATAGAGCACTCTTAGTAGTACATATACAGAGTGTCCCAAAAGTAACGTAACCGACAAAAAATTGAATATCTCCATTACGATTCAAGCAAACGAGCTGATTTTTGTGTCAATGATAAAGGCATGTTCAAGCTTTATATCCATAAAGACAAGCCTAGAGAGACCTTTTGTTAAGTATTACCAGTGATCTCAACAAAAAAAATTTTCTTTTTTCACAGATAGGAAAAAAAACAATATATTTAATAAAGGGTCTCGCTTGACATGTCTTTATGGATATAAAGCTTGAATATGCCTCTATCATTGGTAAAAAAATCAGCTCGTTTGCTCAAGCCGTAATGGAGATATTCAATTTTTTTTTCGGTTATGTTACTTTTGGGACACCCTATATATATATATATGAGCAGAATTTTTTCTCAAGCTTTCTGTACTTTGAAATAATATTAATCTCGATACTTTTGGTATGCCCTAAGTACATAAATCAAAACGTACTTTTTCTGAATTTTTTTTACATTTAATTCATAACAATCTCAACTGTAAACTAGTGACCTCTGATAATACTAAAAGCTTTTGTGGGCGATAAAATAAACCAGTAAATAATATCGTAAATGACTAAAAAAAACAATTTCTTTTTCGTCCTCATTAATGTGAGAAGTTTTATTCCGACTTTTTCTTACGTAATTAATTTTTTGTTCTATATATAGGATGTTTTGTTCTTGGCAAATTCAGATTTTTTTCAGATCGATTTAAATGTCTTCAAAACGTGCGCAACGTCTCGAACAAGTCGAAAAAGGTCTAGTGAATCTTTCCTTAGCTGGTCAAGCAAGTGATGATTCTGATGATGATTCAAAACGTAAAAATACGAAGAAAAAAAATGCTCCAACAAAAACCAAACAACCAACTAAAGTAATACCATCAAAATCTGCAGTATCGGATGATGATGATAATAATGACAATGAAACAACAACAACAACAACAACAAATAATATTCACCAAAATAATTCAGACGATGATAAAAAACATAATAAACAAAAAAATAAAAAAAATAAAGGAAAAAAACCTAATAAACAAGTTAACGACGATGATGATGATGATCATGAGCATCAGACATCTGTAAAACAAGGTACAATTCTTTTTTTTTTGTTTATTTGAATAGAATAAAAATCTTTCTCTTTTTCCTTTTTTGCGTTCGCTTCCAGCTGATTCAGATGATGATGATGATAATCGACATAAGAAAAAAAATAAAGGAAAAAAACCTAATAAACAAGTTAACGATGATGATGACGATGATCATGATCATCATACATCTGTAAAACAAGGTACAATTTTTTTTTGTTTATTTGAATAGAATAAAAATCCTTCTTATTTTTCTTTTTAGGTTCGCTTCCAGCTGATTCAGATGATGATGATGATAATCGACATAAGAAAAAAAATAAAGGAAAAAAAGGACATAAAACTCATGATAATGAAACAGCCGAGCCAAAAGATCATGAAAATAAAGCGGATCGAAAAA